GAAAAAAAAAGGAAAAGAGGATGAGCAATTGTTTTGTTTTATTTTTTAAAAATATAAATAATAATAATATGACTTGGCATAAAAAAAATTCCACGTTTAACATGTTTTTAGTTTGTTTTTGCCATGTCATCAAAAAAATAATAAAAAATTCCACATAAACGAGTTAACGATCGAAATTAACAGAAGGACTAACGGAGTGCATTTCGTATAGTTTAAGGATCAAAAAAGTGCAAAAAATTGTTAAGGGACCAAAAATGTGCAAACCACTATAGTTGAGGGACCAAATCTAGCATTTAACCTACATCTTTTAGTCATTAGCGTCTCATATGAGAAATTAAAAAAATTAACATTAATTTTAACATTAATATCATATGTAATTAATTAATTAATTATTAAAATTAAAGGTAAATTTTATTTTTATATATAATTAAATAACTAAAAAATATATTATATAATTACATTTTTAAGGTTTAAGTTAAAAAAAATAAATCTTTAGTCACATCCATCACCTTTTCCGTTAAATTCGTAATTGAACTTTTCTTTTCTAGGTTTTTCATTTTTTAAGGCCAAAACAATCAGGACTTTCTTTTTTGACTTCGTTATCTTTTACATCAGCAGAGTTTTTCTCAAATTGTTGTGATATTTAGCCTTAATTTATATTGGGGAAGTTGGATGAGAAGGGAAGGAGTGGGAGGGGAGATGCCTCTTTTTTTGTGCTTGGGTTGTTGTTTTTAATGAAAGGGGGAGAGAAATAGAACATCCTTTATTCCTCTATTTTTAGTTCTTTTATATATTAGTGGGATTGAGAAAGATTGATTTTATATATCTGTTTTGAAAATTTTTTTTGAAAAAATAAATATATAAAAATATTTTATATCAATTATTTTTTTAATTAATAAATTTAAAATTTTTTATTTTAATTTATTTACTTTTTAGAAATTATTTAATTAATTAAAAACTTTATTTTTTTCTTTTCCTTCGCTTTTAAGTATTTAAACAAAATTAACATTAATCTTTTCTATCCCTTTTCTTTTTCTTTCTTCCCTTCCCTTCCCCTCTCCTCCCTTTACTTCCCTTCCCCTCACTAATTCTTGTTCCAACAAATGCTTAAATAATTGTTTTAACAAATACTGTAAAATTTAAAACGTTCAATTTTTTTTTACTTCTTTCATAGTTTTAAAACTCTCAATTTGAGATTGCTTGCAAATGAAGGTATTATTTTCTATTTTGGACCGCCAATTAATAACTTTATCACTTGGTCCGATCTAATGATCCTATCTACTAATGCAATTACAGTTGATACACCATATCTAATAGTCAACAATAGATAATTGTGTCCTAACACCTAAAATAAATTAAAAAGTTAGTTACAGGATCGATCCGGTCCCCAAGCTAATTGGTACCTATTATAGTTTTATTTTTGCTTTTAAAATTTAATATTATTTTATTTTAAATATTTTAAATTATTGAATATTTTAATATTTTAAACATTAAATCTTAAACTTTAAAAATTTAAATTCAAATACATTAAACATTAAAATTTAAGAAATTTAAACTTTTAAACCGTAAAATACTAAATTTAAAAAATCTAAACCCTAATATTTTAACCCCAAAATTTTAAAATATTCTAAATATTAAGCTTTAAAAAATTTAAACCTTAACATCTTAAATATTAAATTTTAAAAATTTTAAACTCTAACAACATAAAATTAAATTGATTTTAACTTTTAAAAAATAAGAGCACAAAAATAAATTTAAATGATTAAATATAAAGACTATATAATAATTTTTTTTTAAAAGAATTTATTGGCGCCACGAAGGCCGGTCTCCCTCTGTTTGCTAGGGGGTCGGTCCGCATGGCATTTTTCATAAATAAAATAGTATTTTGAAAAAAATAAAAAAAAGTACTAAAATAATATAAATCATTTAGTACAAAATGCGTGGAAATTAAACTTGCCCCAAAAAAAGGGAAAAAATCTTCCTCTTGACCGTCCAACACTTAGTGATTCAATGGCCACCCCATTGCGAGACGTGCTTAGGATTAGAGAATTTGTGATCAAATCTCAAGTTTTCATTTTTTTTTTTCAAAAATATATATATATATATATATTTACACTGTTTAAAAAAAAAAAAAATCTTCCTCTCGACACTTCGATAAATTGAGTGGGACTCATGGACCATGGAGCACACATCAAAGCCAGCTTGTTTTTGAAAAATTCTAGAGTCTTTATTGATTCTCATATTATGGGCAAAAACTAATATTGAGCTCCTTATCTTATAAAATTAATAAATTTTAGCCCCTCAACTTATAATATAACATTTTTAATTTTTTACCTTATAAAGTTGATAAGTTTTAACCTCTTATCTTATAAAGTTGGTAGATTTTAATCTTTCACCTTATATTATAACATTTTTAACCTCTCACCTATACAAATTGAAGAAAATAACCTCAACTAACATCAAATTATAATGTTCTATTAGTTCTGTTAACTGATTGTTAACATCCCTTAACATTCCATTATAAAAAATATTAAATTTAAATTCAATTTTATTTATTAGTTCTATTAACAAAATGTTAACAGATATTAACAGTCAGTTAACAGAATTAACAGTTAGTTAATAGAATTTACAGTCAGTTAACAGAATTTATAATCAAATAATAAAACTAACAAAACATTATAATATGATGTTAAGTGAGGGTTATGTTCTTCAATTCATACAGATAAGGGACTAAAAGTGTCATAGTTTAAGGTAATGGCCTAAAACCTATTAATTTTGTAAGATAAAAGGTTAAAACTAGATCTAGCAAAAATCCATCTAATTCGTCAACCCGATGTTAACCCGACCCGTAAAAAACGGATGAGGGTCTACATATCTCAACCCGCAACTTGTAGATAACCCATATTATCAACCCGTACAGGTCACGGGTCGAATTAGGATCAACTTGTGAGTTAACGGGTTGACCCGTTTGTTTTATTTTATTTTTTTATTTTTAAATATTATACTTATTATCCTTAATTAATTTTTCTATTGGTAACTCCTTCCATTAATTCATACTCCCTAATTTCTAAAGAAAGAAGAAGAAATTATGATAAGTTTGATCTAATTACCCAAGTATCATTTTTTTTTTTGGTATTAACAATTACCTAAGTATCATGAATAAAATGATAATGCAACTAAAAATATTAAAACATGTGATGTTAGGACATAAACATAATAATTTAGTGAAAGATGTTCTTGGAATAACAATTTCATCATTAAAAAAATGAATTAAACTACTTGATAATGTTTTAAGATGATTATAAAATTGAAACTTTATTTTTCAAGAAATTTAAATATTTTACGTTTAATATTTTTATTGTTAATCAATTTATTATTATTTATAACTTTTTTATTTTTTTCTTAATTTAAATGTTTGTGATTGAAACTATAAAGTATTTAGTATTAATGAATCACAATATTTTAATTAAATTTAGATATATGTAATTTTATTTGTATATAATAAAATTAACAAAAAATAATTATAAAAAATGAAAATTAGGTCAACCCGCTGGTTAACCCGTAACCTGTTAGAGTCGGGTTAGAATTGGACTTTTCCAACCTACAACCTGTTTATAACCCAACCCATATAACCTGTCACCTGAGTTGACCTGACCTGAACCCAACCTAACCCTCCCGTTTGCTAGGTCTAGTTAAAACTTACTAACTTTGTAAGATAAAAGGTTAAAAATGTTATATTATAAAGTTAGGGATTAAAACTTATCAATTTTGTAAGATGAGGGGTTAAAGTTGGTTTTAGCGGATATTATGGCCATTAAAAGCTGCTGACCCAAAGGAAAAAAAACCTATTCAAAGCTCACCCCACTTGTCTACTGCCTGTCAACAAATAGAAAATCATGATGATCCCAAAAAAAAAAAAAAAAAGGAAAGCAAATCATTTTCATATGATGAAATTGGCTTGGAGCATAAAATTGAAAGCACACCTAAAAGAAAAAAAATCTGTACGAAATTAAATTACGGGACTAAAAAACCGGTAAATCAGGATTTAAATCTTTGTAATCTTAATAATTAGTAAGTAAGAAGTAATAATATATTTGATTTAAAAAATTAAAATAAAAAATAAGTTTTTTAATTAAATAAATTATAATATTTTTAAATATTATAATTTAATTAATTAAAAAATCTATATCAAAGAAACATACCCTAAATAACTTTCCATATTCAATCACAAATAAAAAGGTATGAAAGTGGTTTGAATCTCATTTTACATTTATATCAAATAGAAGTTACTTTTTAAAAAAACTTTAATCACAAATATATATTTATTTGAAAAAGAAAATCTGCTTTTAATTTTGAAAACATTTAAGAGTAAACTAATTTTTCAAGCTAAAATCTCTTAATCACTAGTATTATATTAATGACATAACCTTAGCACTTGTTTAACAATGTTTTGGTTATCGAGTAAAATTAAAAAATTGAACTTTAATTATGATTTTTAAAATATATCATACTTAAAAATTGTCGATTTTTGTTTTTAATTTTAATTCTCATTTTTTACCATTCAAATTTTGTTGATAAAAACAAAATTTAAACAACAATGTTACTAATTAGAAATTTAGAACCTTAATTTTAAATTTAGTCTAACAATTTTTTTAATGTTTAGACTTAAATATTTTTGAAAATTAAATCATAAAAAGATAAAAATATCATTTAATCTCAAATTCTTAGATGATTTTTATGTCTTTTCTAGTTTCATGTACTGATAACAAAATATCGAGCTCAAATTTAATACTAATAAATAAATAAAAGATCAAATCAAACCAACACCATACAAACTAATTAAGAAAGTGAAAATTTTAGGAACCACAACTAATCTAGATATGATGCAAAATTAAAAAAAAAAAAATCACTAATTTAGATAATTTCAGTTACTACTACTAGTACTAGTTCTATTTTTTACCGAGAAATTTTAGGATTTTGGTTAATTTTAGATTTTGATTATTCTTTTAATTTGTCCCTCAATCTTCTTTCTTTTCTTTTCTTTTTTAATTTTTCTTTCATCGGTATAAAATTTTGAACGACGCCGTAAAAAGGAGTAGATAAGCACAGGTGGATGGCTTCTTTACCGTATGCTGACGTGGACGGCAGCCTGAGAGTTTTGGCCGGCAAAGCGGAGGGTTTTGGGCGGTTCGCCGTCGGAGGCGTCTACGGGCCTCTTTACTCTGTCACTTCTCTGAACGGTTCACTATCTTTTGAACCTTTCCATTTTTCTTAGTTCAGATCTTCGCTTTAATTCACGATTATCATTGCTTTTGCAGATGATGGTCCGGGATCGCTCCGTGAAGGGTGCCGGCGACGAGGACCGCTCTGGATCGTCTTCGAAGTTTCCGGGACGATTCATCTTAGATCCTTCTGTAGTGTGTCTTCTCACAAGACGATCGATGGCCGGGGCCAGAGGATCAAGCTCACGGGATTTGGTTTGAGGTTGAAGGATTGCGAGAATATCATCATCTGCAACCTCGAGTTTGAAGGCGGCCGAGGACACGACGTTGATGGGATTCAGATAAAACCCAATTCTAGAAACATCTGGATTGACCGCTGCAGCCTCCGAGATTTCGACGATGGTCTGATAGACATCACCAGACAGAGCACTGACATTACCGTCTCTAGGTGGGTTGACCCCTGATTGTGCATAACGGTTGGCAGGTGTTGAATTTCATGGCTGAATTCTGGGTTTTGATGGGTTCTGTTTCTGAATTTAATCCCAGATGTTACTTTGCTCAACATGACAAGACAATGCTAATTGGAGCAGATCCATCTCATACTGGTGATAGATGCATAAGGGTGACAATTCACCACTGTTTTTTCGATGGTACCCGGCAAAGGCAACCTCGTCTTAGGTTTGGGAAGGTTCATCTGTACAATAATTATACCAGAAACTGGGATATTTATGCAGTTTGTGCAAGTGTAGAAGCGCAGGTAGAAAGAGAGCATCTTTAGTTCTTAGTTCTTACATCTCCATTTTGTATGTCTGAGTTATGGAATCTGTTGGTAATTCTATGTTTCTGTTCTTATCAGATATATTCCCAGTGCAACATATATGAAGCTGGAAACAAGAAAAAAACTTTTGAGTATTATACAGAGAAGGTAACCATTCTTTATTATTATTATTATTATTATTATTATTTTGGTAAAACCATTCTTTATTTCTATTTTCTGAGAAAATGATAATAGCAGTCACCATGTAATTTTCATTTCTATAGTGGAAATTTCTTTGCCAGTTGTATCTGTTTAATATTCAGAATTAGTTGTTTGCCTTTCCATTTCAATATGATGTGGGGAGGGGACCTCGTGCCTATTCATTTAACCATGCGCCTCTTTTTGGATTCAATGACATTTATTTTCGTATTACAGGGTGTAACCATTATTTTCTGTAGCATAGCCACATTTATGGGCAAAATTTGTATCGGGAATTGTTAGGAAGTTGCTTACTTTTTTGCAGATCTAGTCTTCACCTTTTCATGTCTGCGTTCTATTATAGCTTATGAGTTTGAGTGTATGACTGTATGAGATCTGAGGACAGGTAGCTTTATCTCAAAATGTTTTGGTAAATATTTCTTACATATTTGTGAATTGGGATCTGGCCTCTGGAGCCGATCTAATTGTTCAGACCAACCTTGTTACAGCTTTAGTTGTTATACATACTGAAGTTTCTCATAGTTTATATGCTGCTGCTTCGAAATGACATCTCTTGTTTCAAATGCGGCTTTTGGATGGATTTCCAGGCAGGAGACAAGGAAGAGTCTGCATCTGGATTAATAATATCTGAAGGAGACGTATTTCTGAATGGAGCACAGCCATTCTTACGAACTGGAATTGGTGAAGAAAATGTCTTCCATCCAAGTGAACATTATCCAACATGGACAATGGAAGCAGCAACGGATTCTTTGAAAGAAGTCCTCCAAATATGTGCAGGTTGGCAATCCATTCCTCAACCACCAGATACGATGACCATATGCCAATGAGGCTATGGTCAGCGTTTAAAAGGACATGCTAAGATTTTGGAGGACTCACTCAGGTTTCATATTTCCCTACCCCAAATATAAACTCAGCAATGGATTCTTTGAAAGAAGTCCTCCAAATATGTGCAGGTTGGCAATCCATTCCTCAACCACCACATACGATGACCATATGCCAACGAGGCTGTGGTCAGCGTTTAAAAGGACATGCTAGGATTTTGGAGGACTCACTCAGGTTTCATATTTCCCTACCCCAAATATAAACTTAGGAGTCGAATACCTTCTCATTCCTGTCTTTATTCACCTGGATTATTGGATGCAACATATATGTTGTGCCCTAAACTTTTTGTAAGGTCAAGATTTAAATTGTAAAACATTTCATCAGAAGTTTAACATTGCATTGAACTTTGAGAATGTAATAAATAGACTTGAGTTTTCTTCACAAAGTTATTCCCTTCACAGAGGAGAAAACAGAGTAAGAATAGAGCTCTCTGACTTCTACACTCTGGAAACTCCGAATTACCATTGTTATTATGCATTGTCTTTTACCAGGGCATTAGCATCATAGATCCTATTGAATTACATGATGAAGATGACCAAGAAGAACCACTCAAAACAAGGGCAAAAACCAACATTTAGTTCCTTACCTTACAAATTTGGTAGGTTTTAACCTTTTACTTTACAAATTTAGTAAGTTTTAACCTTTCACCTTATATTATGACGTTTTTAACCCTTTATCTTATATTATGACATTTTTAACCCTTCACATATATGAATTGAAGAAAATAACTTTCACTTAATATTAGGTTATAACATTCTATTTGTTCTATTAGCTGACTGTTAACATCCGTTAGCATTTCGTTATAAAAAATATGAAATTTAAATTCAATTTTATTTGTTAGTTTCATTAACGAAATGCTAACGGATGCTAATAGTCAGCTAACAGAACTAATAGTCAGCTAACAGAACTAATAGAACATTATAACCTTATGTTAAGTGAGAGCTATTTTCTTCAACTCGTATAGATATAGGGCTAAAAGTGTCATAATATAAAATGAGTAGCTAAAACCTATTAATTTTATAAGGTAAGGGGTTAAAATTTATCAATTTTGTAAGGTAAAGAGTTAAAAGTGTCATATTATAAAGTTAAGAACTTACACTTACCAATTTTGTAAGGTGAGAAGTTAAAAGTTGGTTTTAGCCCAAAACACGAGCTCCATGAAACAAATGGGACAAGTAATTCCCCAAGTCATCTGGTCCAATCGTCACCAACACCTCCAAATTCTTCTCCCCACTCAGATCCCCCAAATGTGCTTCATAGAATTCTCTATATGCCGGTACAAGTTTCCTTTCTATTGACAACTTCAACGCATCTCTCAGCTTCCTATCTGTTACAATCCACGATGTCTGCTTCACGTATGCTTCTTCAAAAGCAGCATTAAATCTCCGAAGACAGTCCCTGAATTCCTCTGCTGACATTGCCGAAGAACATTTCTCCGGTAAAGATATAAATACCTTGTTCCAGGCCTGTAATTCATAGCCCAAAGAATAGAGTTTAACCTTCTTGGTATGCCTGGATATCCATTCCTCACCCAGGAGTTCTTTCAGGGGACTTTTTCGAACCTTTTCAACAATGAACTGAAGATTGTTTGCTAGGAAGAGATAGGACAGGGCCACATCTTTATACAGCTGTGCTTTCCGGTCAAGTTTGCATAACAGAACCAGTATGAGCCAAGCAAGATGAACAAAGGATGCTGGTTTTGAGCCATCAATGGAGGAAGATTCCAGAAATGGTGAATTTTTTGGTGATGGGTAATCAGCAACTATGTCTGACAGAACCCTACTGTACTCTGCCAGGGAACGTATGTAAGTCATGGTGGATTCTGTCAGGGGGTGAATCCCACCTCCGGTAACCAGAATTTTTGATGAGTCCTTCTGGATTGATGATTTGAAGTCGGTCAGAATGATGAAAACGGAGTGACCGAGTTTGTGCATGGACGAAAGAGCTTGCAGTTTAATACCCGAGGTTGATTCAAAACTGAAAATTGATTCTATCTCTGGCCAGAGTTTGGAGATTGTTTCATGGAGTTCCATTAACCGGAAAATTCTCTCCGGTGATTTTTTGTACTTAGAAACCAGTTCAGGGAACGTGAACAGATTCATTGCCCCTTCTCTGGTTAGGTCTACGAAACAGCACTCCCTGATTGTCTTGGACGCCGAAAACACACGATCGCAGAAAACTTTTTCTCCGGGAAACAGGGTTTTCACGGCGATCTTCACCGCATTCTGCCAGGTCTTGGTCATATGTTCAAGCACTTCCCAGTTCATCTTGTGAATTTGAGAAGACTTGTAATGTTTGATTCCGAGGAGGTACAATCCTTCATCAACAATCCCTTTTCTGATCATTTTGTAAATTTCCACACACTCTTTTCCATAGCCGGAGCTGATCATGCAATCAGCTATGGCCTTTAAATCTGCCATTGCGAGTGCTGAGACTCTCTCCACTTCGGTGATTGACTCGTCCACCTTTTCCAACTCTGCCTCCTCTTCATCATAGGAGTTGCTTAATTGACTAACTGATTCCGGACAAAGTTTATCCCGGTTAGCTGATAGTATCCTATCAAACTCCTTTTGCAACCTCTTCATGGCAATTTGCATGAGTTTCTGAGCAAGTATGAGCTTATCTGAAGTAGAATTCTCCGAGACTAAAAAATTCATGGCTCGTCGGAGATCATCGACACTCTTGAGGAACTCTTTAGATTCTCTCCTGCTTTGCTGAAAAAGAGAGCTGAATTTGGTGTGTGCAGAAGAGTCAGGATTCCATTTGGCGATGATTGTTTCTGCATTCTCAATGTTTTCTTCCATCGTTGATTTGGACAATGTGTGCCTTGGGAAAGAAGGCATGTGAGAGCTTGGAAATGACAGAGAAGAACTTAGGGTTTTGGAGGATGGGAAGAAGAGAGCAAAAATTCCTTTTCTTGCCATGGTTTTATTGTTCTTTGGAGTCTCTGGTAATACCATTATGCCCTAAAGAAGAAACTCAGAGCCAGAGATAGTTGTTTTTGGTTTCATGCTTCTGTTTTTTAGGGTTTATATAAAGAAAGGGCAGTCCAAATTTCCATTTGATCAGGGAGGTGGGTTTGGAGATAGAGGGGTCGTTAGACCAAAGAATGATTGACTGACTCAAATGAAGAATGTTTCCCCAATGCAGAGCTCCTACTTACATTTCAGTTGATTTATGGTAAATTAATGTTTGAGGGATTAATAATTTAATACTATAATTGTTGGATAAATAGGAAGTTAGAAAATAAATCATTAGATCATTGGCTTCAAAGCGTGCTGCAAATGCCACTTTCATTTAGGCTAATTTCACCCCCACTAGATCTGGTATGCAAAAAGGGTAACCAAAAATGCTCATAGGATACCATGAAGCGTCTTGTTGATCTCGCCTTTGCACTAGCAAGATCAACCACTGAACCATCCTTTGGAAAGCAACAAAACAATAGTTTTTGTATAAGGATTTCTCGAGCAATCGCAATACAAAGTGGGCTATTTTATTTAGATATTTCTGGGTTCAAAAAGACTCTACCAGAAAAGAAAAGAAGAGATAACTTCATATTTATAGGGCGAGATGTATGTTGGAGTAGACACTTATTTTCAAGATGTCTATTGGGAACAAACACTTCTTTTCAATTTTTATCCGTTAGAAACTCTTCCAAAAGTCATTTGGTTTGATTTGAATTCCAACTCATGTGTTTCCTTGCCTTTTAAAGTTATCCACTCTCTTCAGAAATTTATCTGAATTTTATCTCTTATTCTGGCATAAATGGTTCGAATCAAATAAATGTGATTTGAACTAAAATCCTAAATTTTCGGATTTTGGTTTTACGTAAATGATTCAAATCATATAATTATGATTCCAACCAAAGTTATACTTTCTCAAATACATTCTGTGCAATTGTTTCGAACGAACTTTTTATGATTCGAACCCAAATCCTGGAAATATTTTGAAAATTCTTCAACATTTAAGCCAATGATCTAATTATCTCATTTCTAACCCCCTATTTCTCCAACAATAATGTCACACACACATATAGGCCATGTTCCATAATTTCATTGGCCTGCAGAGTGCTAAGAATTGGTAATACTAAGCAACTGTTCTTTTATGCTATTTGCACTTCTTTTTTTCTCTGAATGTGTTTTCTTGTGATCCCTTTCAATATCAATGGGTAAATCTTTTACAATTTTTCTTTGCGGCTTAATGCTGCTTTTCTTGGCAATCAAGAGAAGGTTTAAACGACTTGTTTTGTTTTATGCTATTAGTCCTTTTCTTGTTCGGTATATTAGAAGTTAATTGCTTAGTATTGTCCTATTAGTTTTTTTCTTAGAGACCTTAGTACGCACATGGAGTTCTTGAAAATTTTTTGCTTAGCATTTTGCTATTAGTCTTTTTCCTTAGAGACTTTAATACATGCATGCATGGAGTTTTTTGAAAATCTTCCGATGACCGGCGTTTTAGAGTTTTTTGAGAATGTTCTGATGGCCCGAGTCTTTCTCTTTGCTTGCTTAATTGTGAACTAGAAAACAGAGCTCTTAAGTCTTTCCCGAAGCACTAAGGAAATACAGAACATAATGCTGTTCCCCCTAACTGCGTAATTTTCCACAAGTCAACTCATTGTTTTCTTAGAAACTTCTGGTATATACTAATGTCATTTTTCTCTTCCTCTCAGAGAAATGCACACTTTTTTCTGAGCCACGTGGAACTTTTATGTGATTGGTGATTTATAAATAAAATTAAAATTAACATATTTTAATTCAAAATTATAACCCATCACCCAGGAAAAAAAAAATGCTGCATAGCCTAAATTTATAAAAAGTGGGTTCAAGAGAGAATGTCGAAGAGTGATAAAAGAGAATATTCGTAAAACTCTTCTAATTCATCATAAGATCAATTATAAAACAGAACTTTGGGAATCTTGTTTTGTGTTCTTGGATGCATTCTAAAAACAGTAAGAATTTGTGCCTTTGATCTAATGTGCTTATGTTATTCCATTATTATATTATTCATGTGTTTGCTTAATGCATGAAACTTGTCACCCCAAATTCCAAAACCAAAATCACGAGAAAAGAAAACCGCATTACAAGTAGAAATTAGGATGTGAATTGTCAAAATCCATCTCCTTGTTTTTTTCTTAGGGCTTACGACTTTGACAAGGATGTTCAAGAAAACATGCTCAAATGTGCATTATATTTATTTTTCTAATTTTAATTTTATTTTGTCATCATAGTCCATATATGTTACACCACTCTTGTCGTTTTGTTTCCCAGAAATTACATGCATAATGTAGTTTAATTGGCCGGCCAAAAAAATATGTTGGCAGTTTAGTTTTCATTTCTATTTTTATTTTATCATAGACAAACAAAAGGATGAAAATAAAATGAGAAAATTTGACGCTTTAAACAAATAATAAGATAATGTTTTCCCTCTTGCAAGTTCTTCAGGATTGTGGATTGAATCATTCAAGAATCAAAATGAGAGATTTACATATAAAAATCAGTAGATTTCCCCCAAAAGAGTGTTTTACAGCCCTTGAATTCTCACATCTAAACAGGCAGACTCATTTCCAACACATACTTCTAATATTAAAAAAATATAAATAAATGTTTTGAAAAGGAACTTGGGCCCTAGTCTTGAGGAAACGAGGAAAATAGGTGACATGAACTTGGGTCCTTACCTCCAACCCATAAAAATACAAAACATGTTCAGCCGCTTTAAGATAAATATATACTCCCTACAATCCAATTTAGGCTGCGTTTGGGGTTGGTGTAAAATGTTACAATTATACTTTGTTGTAATTATAATTAAAAGTTATTTTAATATTTAATTATTTATTTTTTAAAAATATAAATAATAATAATATGACTTGGCATAAAAAAAATTCCACGTTTTAACATGTTTTTAGTTTGTTTTTGCGACGTCATCAAAAAAATAATAAAAAATGCCACATAAACGAGTTAACGATCGAAATTAACAGAAGGACTAACGGAGTGCATTTCGTATAGTTTAAGGATCAAAAAAGTGCAAAAAATTGTTAAG